CATTTAAATTTCACACACACACACACATAAAATCTAGGTTTACTAAATCATTACAAATATATAATTCTTCTCACCCCCTGAATTCAAAAAATATACGACAAAAACATTGGTGATTTTATTATTTTTCTCCCCTGCATTTATTTAATAAACTTAGATTTCTGATCTTGTAATTTTAATATAAAAAAATCATGATTCTTCTCCGCCAGATTAATTTACATTAACGGAAATATATGATTTTAATTTCTATGATGCATTAATGTGATTCTTTCTCTCCTTGGCCCTTTTCCATAATTAAAAATTGACTCTTTTTTCTTGTATTATTAAAAGTGTGAAAACATAAATTAACAATCATATGATAAGAAATATAAATTTTACAATACATTAAAAATATAATGATTATTCTCCCTCGTATTATTTCAAAAATTATGTGAATGCAAAAAAATAGTGATTCTATGATTTTAATGAAATTTTACAAAAACTATTTCACAATTTTTATTCATTTTTTTGCTTTCTTTTTTAAATATTCAATCATTTAAGTGTGTGAAAGTATTTTGGTCAATACATAATGTTTTATAAAATACAAAGAGTTACAATTTAAAAATTATATTTCTCTTTGAAGTTGTAGTTTAACCTAAATCTTATTCACTTCTGCACATAAGATCTTCTTCGTACTTCTCCTTAAAATACTGATTATTCTTGCATCTAAATTTTAATTGTCACAGATCTTCACGCGTTTCTCGACCTCCAAATCTTAATTTTCCTTATCCATGTTATATCGCTTCATCTCTAAGAATATCATTTTTTTAAAATTTCTTTGTATGATTGCGAAAATGAAGAAAAGAGAATCGAGCCATACTTCATCCATCTTTTTTACTTTCATGCATCAATATAGTGAATTATCACTTAATATAAATTTATAAATCTTAAGTTACATCTTAAATATGGTAAGTTACAGTGCAAACCTTCTTTGATTAAAATAATAGGTCAAATTAGAAAGATAAAGTACAAAAGTCAAATTGAATAATCCTGCTAAGTAATACTCCGTATGGTTTAAACACTTAATATATAAAATTTTAATATAGGGATTAAGAAGTATTTGTTATTTTACATCACTATTTAAATAAATGGAATAAAGCTAACTTCTCTTAATCATAACATAAAGAAATATGAAATTTTTTTAAAGATAAAGAGAGTAGTTTATATATTCATCGAAACTATTATTATAAATGAAATGAAAAAAAATTAAAAGAAATATATATCTCTCTTTCTTAATTAAATGTACTCAATGATAATAAAATCATAAATAATGTTAGTATAATATAATAAGTCCCAACGATATATTTTGTTTTAATCATTTGTCTTTTATAATATAATAAAAATAGGTTTAAATATGTTTTTATACCCTATAAAATAAGAAATTTTTTCGTCTCAGTAAATATTTTTTGATAAAGTCATCCCTACAAAATATTTTAATTTGAAAATAGTCCTTAACCTAATTAGAAGTTCTAATTAGATGAGATAGTACATTTATTTCATACTCAACATATTAGTCATGTATTTCTAATTACATCCGATGCAATTTCTAAACCCTAAATTGTGTACTTATTCATATCAAATATATTTGGTTCTCAAATTTCTTACGAATATAATATAATCAAAAGTTGAGAATTGGAAATGCAATTTGATAAAAGACACAATTGTTGACATCAAAATTGTGTCTGAAGTAATTGCAAATCTAAAACCAAGCTATTGAGTACAAAATAAATATGTTATCTCAACAACTTAAAAGTCTAATATATTTTACGTGCTTTAACAATTTATTTTCTAATCTTCTCATTTTTATAAAGTTTCATTGTAGTTTTAAAATAAGTTTTTTTAATCTTCTCATATTTTAATAAATATAATCAAACTGACTGCTTCGATTTAAATATATCATAAAAATATGAAATTTATTTAGAAGTGAAGAAATATCTTATTAATTGCTTAGGGCCAATTTGGTGAATTTTGGAGATATTATAAGATGTGGGTTATGAAAACTCAGAGAAATGATATGGACTTTGTAATCTGAAATGATTTTATTTGGAGAGATTTAAATTCAGGATTTAATTAGTGGTAAGAAAAGGTGACTGGCAACGGGAGTGGTTGGCAGTGATAATGGTAGCGAGTGACGAAGAATGATC